TGGCTCACCCCCTCCGAAAGCATCTGGAGACCATATGCCGCCTGTCTACCTAAATTAATCAGCTTTCTGCTGCGAACATCACATCCGAGCCTCTCTAATACTCCTCCCCGGCTTTTAGAGACCTTTCTCAGCGCAGAATAAAGGCACCTTAAAAACCTTAGGTTGGGACCACTTAGCATTCTGCCTCCTTTGAGGTACAGCTGCAGATGTGCAAGTTGGCGTCCGCGACCATCACACCGCGGTCACAGCAGGAGAAATGGTCTCCGGTTGGCCACGACATACAGCCTTGGCACTAGTAGCACCATGCCGGGAGCTGGATGATCCTTCAATTCAATCTTAACTGGAAAAATTAAAGCAAGCAGAGATCAAAGTGGACAGGTTTTCCCTTATATATGCTTTTTTGTGGCATGAATTTATGAAATCCCCCCCTAAATGGTGCCCTGCTCCCCGGTGTGGCTGCTAGCCACTTGAAGGTGCTCCAGGGCTCAAATTCCCTTTAGCCCAACACCACCAGTCACGGCTGGATGAAGGGTGATGCCCCTGAGACCACCAAAACACTGCAGGGCTAAACTCGGAACAAGGAGGCAGCAAAACCCAAAGTGCTGTCAAACCCCCCCCCAGTTTCAGCTTAAAACCAGCGTGGTGGCACCAGCAAGCCACCCTTGCCCACCAGAAGTGGCGTGAGGGACAGGTTTCCCTGTGACCCCCGGTGCTTCCCTGAGCTCCCTGGGGAGGACGAGGCTTTTTTTTTTTGGTCCGTTTGCTCCGGTCAAGGTGGGGAGGGACAAAGGTCTGACGGGACCTCCCAAGCACAGGGGACACCCCTTCCCAGAAGGGGGACTTTCCCCCTGGATGCGACTCACCCCCAACCCAAGACAGGCAGCCTGCCCCAAAACCATGGCGTGCCTGGCTTATTTTGGGGGAAAAAACCCAAACCTAAGTACCCAAACAGCAGCACCGCACACTGAGGGCATCCCCTGCAGCTGCTCCCCTACAAGAGGTGGACAATGAGAACGGAGCAGGCGGGCCCCACAGCCAGGCCCAGCATGAGGTAAAACGTCATCACCACCCCCGCCGCCTCGGCCAGCTCTTTCGGCACCATCTTGGGGCCGTAGATGATGACCAGCGTCCCCAGATAGCCATTGCTCAGCCCCAGCAGCGCCGTGAAGACCACTGGGTAGACATCTAGGTTGAAGACCACCGTCTGGATGTGAGCCCGGGGTTGGTAGTTGCTGAGGATGAAGAGAGGGAGGAAGACTGTCCTGAGGAGGACAAGGGCGGGCAGCAGCTTGCTCCTGGGGCCGGGCACCTGGATCCAGGCGGTGATCTGCCTCCCGCACCAGTCGGCAAAGTTGTAGAGGAGGAAACTGGTGAGGGGCACAAAGTACTTGGTGCTCCACAGGCTTCCCGAGGACTTGCTGACCGACTTGATGTTGGAGGAGAGAGAAGGGAAGATGATGATGGAGATGAAGAAGACATAGAAGAGACAGAAGCCGAGGAGGGCGGTCTTCTGCAGGATGGGGCGGAGTGGGGGGATGCTTGTGCTTTTTGCGAGGAAGGAGGTATTTGTGGTGCCTGCTGGCTCGTCCTCATCCTCCGTGGAGCTGTTGGGCGGCACGGTGGCCAGAGATGGGCTCTGCTTCAGGCTGCTCATGTAATACCTGGAAAAAGAGAAGGAGGGAGATTATTAGCCAAGTGCGCGTGTGGAAAACGCAGAGATTTGGAGAGCGAGCAGGAGAGAAGTTGGCGACACAAGGACGTCCACTGAATCCAGCAAAAGCGGTTGCAGTGACCCCATCACACCTCCAGCTCCCGCCTCATACGGAGAGGTGACCCTCAGGGACCCACCACCTCGGGGATCCCTTTACACCCTCGGTGGTTCGCAGGGGGAACCTACTGCATGCAGGCATTTGGGGGGGGGCCAGGTGGTTTCGGGGCTCGCAAGCACCGACAAGACCAAGGGTCGCGCACAGCAGCGCCTGACGTCGCGGATACGGACGCCCTACGGGGACCCACCTGGCCGGCTGCTTCCAGATCACAGAATCACAGGATGGTTTGGGTTGGAAGGGACCTTAAAGATCATCTAGTTCCAACCCCCCCTGCTGCGGGGGGTTGAGATCCCGGCTCTCTGCTGACTTCACGCATTTCAGAAGCCCTGGCGCCAGCACCCCGCTCCCCCCGGGGAGGTTTGCCAGAAACTCAGCACGCGCCGGGGCAGGCGCCCAGTTTCGGTCTGTGGTTTCGGTCAAATGGGGAAGTGTGGCTGGTGGCGGCACAGC